AAAGAAAAAAAATAATAGAGAAATTAAAAAAACATTGCTACCCGTGATTTTATCCTGTTTCACACATTAATATGCAGCCATCTAAATATATTATCCCTTCATACGTACATACATACATAAGTCCGTATATATATGTGAAAATTAAATTCTCAGTTGATTTTCTGATTTCATCATTCGTCTTTTATTTTAATTCTCATACACACAGAGGAAAAAATTTAGTTAAGAAACATGAAATTCAGTTTGATTTTACAACAAATTTAATCTAAAATAATTTAAAATAGAAAATGAATTTACGAAACATTAAAATATTTTTAACTCAAGGCTTACTTAAATATAAATATTTTTTTAACAAATTATAGGAAATTATAAATTTCGATTTTTATTAAATAGAAAAATTTCAGTTGACAATTAAGTACGAAGTTAAACTTGGAAGAGAAAAATATCAAAGAAAGTGGACAGTAATTTTTCATATGGAGCGCATCAAACAAAAGATTAATGAGTTTTCAAAGATACTATAAAACAAGAACAATATGAAATGCTGTGGTACAAGGCTACTGAACTGTTTTAGTTGGATTTTCAATATTTGATTAAAATCCACAACTCAACATGACGTATCAAAATTATGAAATTTTCTTGCATTTTTTTTTTTGAAGTCGCAAATCGCAATTATTATTCTTTAATCTTTTATGTGGTAAAAAATCTAATATTCACTTTAATTAACATTCAGTAACTCACTATTCTCATTTTAATTTTACTTTGTTAAACTTTTTCAAAGGTTTTTTTGCAATTTCTTTTCTTATAACAATGTAATTTACAAACTTTGAGGTTATGTCCACTTCTGACATAAAAGTGAATATAACCTTAGGATTCAAAGGAAAAACAACTTGTTGAATGAAAAAATCTGGCAAAAAATATACACAAGCAAAAGGATTCTGGAAAAGCAAACTAGAAATTAATAAGGAGAAAAAAAATTTGGAATAATGGCAAAATATTAAACCAACAAAGGTAACATTGTATCGATTACCGCTTATTTTTATTGCCCTTTGAAAAATTTATGTATATGTGTTCTTCTCTTACAGCACAATAGTTAACTTTATTTTTAAGATTTTGACGTTATAACAGGCAGAGGAAAATGAAAAAGAAAATTATCCATTTAATTAAAAATTTATCGAAATCTGAACCGCTATTCCACTCATTTACACATTTATTATTCTTAACTGCTAACGGACAAACATACCGGGAATGCTATGTTACTAAAATATTTCACATATACACTCAAAGAAAATATACTGTACATGTAAAATCGCAAGATTTTGACAAGCACACAATTAAAAACGTAAAATTGATTGCATACAGATGTTGTTCGGTAAAATCGCAAACAATTCACGTTGAAAAATTTGCGAGTAGAGTGTGAAAAATACAATTGGCCGAAGTAAATATATAGTAGAAAAATGGAGGTGAGATTTGAATAATTAAAATCTATTATTAAACTGTGAAGAAACAGAAAAATTTCCGTGATATGTAAATGGTTTCTTAACTATCTTATCCATTCTACTTAAAATTTTAAGAAAATATTACTAAAATTCAAATATCTGCAATTCTCAAAGTAAACTATACATATTACTTACTTAAGATGTAAATATATTTATTTTTTAGCAAAAATCTTTTATTATCATATTAAAATCCATGTAACATATGAATAAAATTCTATTTATAGAAATATATGTGTATATTACATAAAATATGTACTTTTATAATTCTAATATTTATACAAACATATATCAACTTCTTAAGTCTTATTATATCATTATATACACACAACAAATAAACATACTAGCTAAAATAATATTAAAAAAAAAATTCTTAAATCCTTTTTATACCATTGTCATATATGCTCCTAAAATATATGCAATATTTATAGAAACGAAAATTTAAAAAAAGATAACATTTACTTTCATACTAAATGTGCATACGTACATGTTGTATAGATCTACATATAGACATTCATAAATGTGTAAGAACCTCACCTGGTTCAGATCAAACGTAATACGAAAAGTAAATTTCTAAAATACAATTCAACTATAAAAAGTTTTTTTATTTGATTTTTTTATTTTCGGGACACTCGCATTATTTAAGATATTTTAATATTATTTGATTTTAAAATACACACATGTACTAACAGACATACACACATAGAGATGCATATTATGTGCATATATTATCAAAATTAAAATAAAAAAGTGCGGGAGTTATTTTCATTATTTATTAAGAAATTCTTCGTTAAATAAAAGCGAAGTTTTAAATTTAGAAAAATTATTAAATAAATAAGGATAATAAGTTCATTCGTAAGTATTGCAGTAAAATTCCTTAAAATAAGCCATGTATTCAGTGAAAAACAGCCTTTATTATAACAGTTTCGTTCTAAATAGCTTATTTTTAATGTACAGCAGTACAGTAATAAAATAACCATGCGAGTGTTTTTAAAATAACTTTCAATAACTTAGAATATTGTTAAAAATATTAAAATACGGTGACAATTTCCAAAACGGAAAAAATTTAAATTGCATATATTTCGGCGAAAATTTTTATATTTGCTATGAAATTACTTTTAATTGTTTCTTAACCTAAAACCGACAGAAAACAAATTAAAAAAAAAGTAATATTTGTTAAATTAAATGTCAGAAAGCCTGAATGCCTGAATTCAGATCTGCTAATGTAGTTGATATTACAGTAATGGCAAATAAAACGCAGCTTTCTTATTATAACTTATTTAAAATTTAAGAGTACTGCATTACTAAAATTATTAATTTTCCTTTACATATTCCTTATCGCTATAACCCTGTACACAACTATAATTTAATAAAAAATCTCTGTAAACATGTGTGTGCTCTTAATATAAATGTTAAAAAAATACATTTTACTTATGTTTATTTTCTTATTAATAATTATACCGCCATAAAATTCAACTTTATATCGTTTTAAGGAACATGCTAAAGACGATAAGGTATTCTTAAATAAATTTTATATATAATTTTACTACGAACCATATAAACATGCATTATATGATTTAAGGAGGTAAGTTAATATGATTATGAGAAAAGTTTTATTAGTTAAAATTATTTAAAAAAAAAATATCATTACAAATTTAATAAGAATATATTATATTATAGTGGGTTGGCAACTAATTAATTACAACCACAATTGCTTTTAATTATTTAATCATGATAATTGAAATTTTATTTCAATTTTTACAAAATCTCATAATAAAATTTTTAAATCTTTCGAAAGAATAACTTAAATTCTATAGAATATGAAAAATTTAAATGGAAAAAAAATTTTCGTTTTTCAAATTGCCGATAATTTAATCAAAACAACAATAGTATAAGTTGCAATACAACATGCAATATTGGAACACAATATTCAAAATTAATCTATATTGGAACACTTATTTTGATAATCTTACTAGCGCTATTACAGAAATACATAATATACACTCATCTACATATATATAGCTAATAATTGTATATACGTGTATGTTGCTTACAATTTTAATGAAAATAATTTAATTATAAAACTTAATTTTTATATGAACATGGAAAGCTTTTAATTAACTAAAAATTTTTTTATAAAATAAATTATTTCAAAAAAAATTACAGCTGAGATTTAATTAAAGATCATCTGAGCTTAATTGAATCATGTACGATTTGTTGATTTTTCCATATTTGTTTCAAAAAAACTGTTCAAAATTTTAAATGACATGTGTTAAAACGAAAGTTTTTAAATAAACTTTTACATACAAGATTTTAAATATCCAATATTTTCCTTATTCTGTAAAATTTTATTGAAGTTGTACCAAATGTTTTTATACGTAGATAAATTTAAATTGAAATATTACAAAATTCCACTTTAAATTTCTGTTTTAATCACTATAACTCACACACTATTGGATTGTTATTTGCTATACTGGCAAATATAAAATCTAATTTTCTAAAAAAAAAAAATGGTAATTTTAATCTATTCTATAATAATTCTATTTCCCTACTCGCAGCAGGAGAGACGACACCGATAGAAAGTATTGACAAACTCCAGGATATGTATGTAACAATTTTTCACACCTCCTCTAATTACAATTTTTTGTTTTACACCTATTTTTTTAGTAGCATCAGGAAAGGCGACATCTATTGTATATTCGGCATACAATCAATTTCGTATTACAACCCATTCCATAATTTTCCTAATTAACATTCATTTTTCACAATATTTTCGGCAATTTACATCCATTACATAATTCATAAATAATTTCACAATACTGAAAGGAAATTCACATTATTATTATTTTTCTATTTAAAAATTACATTAAATGTAGAAGCAATTTTATAAAAAAAAAATTATTTTTTTACATTAACTTTCTTTATAATTGTACTCGTACTTCTCTTGCATTACTCCAATATAAAATGAAATTTAATTGATTTATTGATCAATATTTACAACATTACATAAAATATTGATTTTTTTAGTACACAACCAATTCTATTCATATACAAATTTTAGTACACTTACTTCGTAATGATATTGTCACTTATGAATAATGGCACTGCAAAAAAAAAAACAAAACAAATTGAAATAAATAAGAGTATAAATGATAAACAATCAAATAAATTTTACTTTCTATACATAGTTATGCACATATACATATTATTATTATTGTACTGCTTTAATTTGTATACAAACATCAGCAAAACTACATACAATATATAGGTAAATATAATTATTGACACATGTATGTATATATAGATTTTTATGAAAATATAAAACAACAAAAATAATAAATAAAACTGGTAATATTCATTTTAGTACGCATTCAAATTTAATTACGTACATACATTCATTCAGTAATAAAAGCTTTTTCTTGCTAGTAGCTCACTCACTACTAACTAACATAAAATAATATAGATTATAATAAATTTAAAATAAATAATCGAATTCGAGTGTAAAAAAGAAAAATATTGTGTACGGATAACATTAAATTTTATTTTTATTATTATTATTTTTTCGTAGTAAAAAAAATTAAAACAAAAATCTAAAACAAAAATCTGGAAAATCACAGGTGATCACCTAAAAAAAATTTTTTTTTTTTCTGTTTTTTTTTTTTTTTATTTATCTATTCAAAATGCTCTTAAACATAAATGCATAAACACAAACATACACTGAAATATAATATTTTTTAATTTGAAAAAGAGAAAACACCGAAAGAGAATAGAAGAGAGTGAGAGAGAGAAAAATGATGCGCGCTTTATTACAAATGATTACACTTATCACAGGTGTTAATACTATAAAAAAAAAATTTGCGATTATAAAAAATAAACATTGAAAAAAAAAAAAAAACAAAAAAAATTTGAATAGAAAATAAAAAACTATTTTTTTTCTTTACCTCACATGTTAACAATAATTTTTGTATAATTTAATAAATAACGCCATCTCGCGGTACTTTTTCTACATATTGCCGCTCTTTTACTCCCTCAAAATAATAATTAATATTTTGATATTATCTCATCTTTACATACAATTTTATTCATATATAAAATATACATAGGTATGTATTGTATGTATATGTAAATTATAAATATATTTATTTATGTAATTATAATCAAATGTGAAATTTTTGAAATTTTTTTAAATAAAGTTTACAAATCTAAAGTGAAATCAAAATATATATTTTTTTTGTTAATAAATTTAATTTTCAATATTTTGTTTTTAATTGTGTGCGAAAAATAATAATGAATAAAAAATTTTAAATCTGAATGTAAAAAAATCATTACAAAAGAAAATTAAATTTAAAATAATTATTAATATTATGAATTCAATATAATAATCATTGTGAAAACCTGTTATTTTCAATTAATTAATTCACTAGTTTGACATTTTTCAAAATCACAGTTGATTTGACATTTCATTTCACAAACGCTCAGCTTTTTTAAAGATAGATAGAGAGTGAGAGAGAAAGAAAACAACCTATCGATAATGTTGAATGAAGTGCATAAGCTATATAATATGTTTTAAATGTTTAAATTTTAAAACAAATGATTTAAAATGCTGATAATTAGTTAAGTATGGTTAAAGTGTTTTAATTTACTATTTAGCACCTGAACTATCACTGACTCCGATTTCTGTCAATTTTTTTGAATCATAATTGTAATTTTGTTCAGTACGCTTGAAGTGCTGATATGATTCACTATATAGCACCTAAATTATCACTGGACCCGATTTTAACCCAATTTCTTAAATGACAATTTATAAATGTGACGGCGGCTTAAATGACAGGTTATGATATGTACAATCTTCATATTTTTTCCTTGCTATTATATACTTTAATATGCCAAGTGATAAATAAAACAATCAAAATAAAAACTGACGGCACTTGCGACACACAATTCTTAAAATGCAAATGTTAAGTAAAAAATACTTAGTGTTGGTACAACACATCAAGTGTGATCTAATCAAGTGATATTTCATTTTTTACTATACCAGCAACATATAATTGATTAGAAGTATATAATTTAGTTTTCGAATGCGAAATATTTTTACAAATCATTTTACAAATCATTGGTATTTCCTACAGCTTCAACTTTATTATTTAAAGACGAAATTGAGATTAACAGTAATCTATAAAGCGTATAAAAATATGAGAGACAAATAAATTCAGTAAAAAAATTTTTTAATTTAAAATTTCACATGGATTATTCAAAATCAGCCTAATGAGATTTGTAAATATACATATGTAGTTTACCCATAACATTCTAATATTATGTCACAACAATCACATAGTAAATAAATTATTTGAAATAGGAATTTGACTAGATATGTGCCTATTTATTTTTTATTATAAAAAAAAATTATTATAATGAAAAATAATTAAATTATTATAAAATAAATAAATAATATTTTGTAAATTAGAAATAAATTAGAAAAATAAATTATTTTGTATATATATATATATATATATATATATATATATGTTTATATAGAGAATTTTGTTTTGTTCTTTTTTTGTAATAAAGGTTGGTCTTTAATTTTTTTTGTTTAACAATGAAATCACAAAATATTTAGAAGATAATCAGAAAATTCCATTTAAGTTAATGCCGATGTCATATTATATTGTTTAATATTATGACAGTGGTAATATTGGTGATAGTATTAAAATAAATATTTTAATTTTAATTTTTTTTTTTCTGTGCACTTTATATTTTCTTTGTATCTCAATACCGCTAAAAGTTAAAAACATTCAAAAGAATAAAAATAATAGTTACAAATATTTTTGTATATACACTACACACATTTGAAATTATAACGAAAAATTTAATTAAATTTTTAACACGTTGACTACCATTTAAGAATATTTTATTTTAGAAAATATTGCAAATTTCAGGAAAATTTAGAAAATAAGTATAGTGTCAAAAATTTAGAAATATACGAGGGCAATATGCGTATTTAATTTTTATAAGCATAATTTTAATTAAAATAAATTTTATTGTTAAATTATTTTATTATTGAATTAACAAAATTGTTAAGTGCAATTTTAAATTTTTTCGAAAAAAATCGGGTTTTGTTTTCATTTATGCAATTAATTTAAATTTTCGAGTTTTTAATTTACATGCGAATTCAATAAATAAAAGGCAAATATTTCTCGGAAAATCAGAAATTTTTTGCCATTGTAACAAAGTGAACGCTGTGCTTAATGACTTTCTAACTCTCCCATATTTTAAATTTATATTTTGCTTGTTAAAATTACACAGAGAAAAAATATGTACTCGAAATCAAGTAAAAATTGATTAAATTTATAAATTTCTTTTTTTTTTGATAATTTAATTATAATAATTATAAATACACGTTCTATAATTCTGTTCTTCAACAAATTTTAATTAAAACTACAGAACTTACACGCTATACACATGGAAGTCAACGTGTTAATAATCATAAATCTAAAACAAAAACAAAATTTTCATTCTCTTCAATACTTCTTTGTTTTTTTATTATTGTTATTATTCTTTTTATATTTTTGCATAATTTCAGTTTAAGCTTTAAAAAGGATGGTTAAAAATTATGATGAAGTTAGTAATAATTCAACAATTAATAACTGTAGTAGTGATTGTAATCCAACATGTAATAATACCGCTAAAAGTTTAAAGTTCAAAGTACCTGTTGTAACATTCAGGTAAGCATTAAAAAAAAAAAAAAACTTTGTATAGAATTAATTAAGTTGAATAAGAAAAAAATAAATTAAAAATATTTAAAAAAAAAAAAATTTTTTTTGGTCACCTTCTAAATTAAATTAATAAAAATGCAAACAAACTAGAAAAAAAAAATTTGACAGAGAAATCAAAACAAGTAAATCATATGAGAATAAAAAACATAACAAGAGTGACCTAACCACCATATTATATTCACTTATATGCGATTAAAAGAGCAAGAATTCATTACTGAAACAATTTATACAGCTACATAGTAGTAAAAGTGCTTAATTTATTATTATATTATTTATGTATATGTATGTATGTATAGATATGAGTAGATAATATAATTAATCTATATACCGATAATCTACTAAATTACATTTTTCATTTTCGATTAATTTAAATCATTAATAATATAAGACATAATAAATGTGTTATACATACATAAGTGTTATTATAATACTGGAAAATATTGGCTCTCCTCGAATATTTTGATAATTTGAATGCTCTCTTGCTTTATTAATAATATTATTAACACTGATAAATTTTTAAATTTCGATCTTATTTGATGAAGTATAATAATTATTTAAAATTATCGTAACTTTTATATGACTATATTACAAATGAGTAATTGAAATTAATTGAATTTAATAATAATACAAAAATGATCAGTGTTGTGAGTAGCAAAAAATTATTGATTACTCAATTAATATTGAAAAGATGTTTATTTTAATAGCTCTTACTATAGGTTGGGGTTGAAGTGTTTTTAAAATTTTTGGTGGTTTATAATTATTATATACATACATACATGTATGCTTCTGTGATTTTATTGATAAGAGATCAATATCATTGTCTCTTACCATAGAAGAGAGATGTGGGTAAAGGAATTTCTTCCCTCCGATCACAGCAGACAGCCATAGGTTATTGTAGCCTTTCTATATCGTACTTGTACTACACCCGTCGCAAGTACATACCTGGAGATAACCCTCAGGGAGTTGGACGAGAACTCCGCAACACTGAGGAAGCCTCGCCCAAACCATCTCCTCCTCCTAGCGGCCAGAGCAAGACAGTCTAGACACTGAATAGGTATCGCTCCTTCCTAATCACGCCCGCAGAACCTACACAAAACGAGAGTCCAATTTGCCCACTTTACGCAAAGAATATTTTACCCTACAATGACCAGTAAAGAAGCCAGTAATAGCACGAATCCGGTTATTGATAACCTTTAAATTTTCTTTAGTTTTCAAATTGTTACATTAGATGAGCAACTTCAAATGGTTTGATTTAATCAGGTTAGACTGAATAAATATGGAGAAAAGCTATAAAACCTGAACATTGCAGCCATTAAGACTTATGGTTATGTCCACTAAAACCAAACAGTACATCTATACCAGACAGATTAAATGAGGATAAGAAATTTCTTTACAAGTACGTAAACTGCTCTTAATTCAACGCCTCACAGTTTAACATAATGGTTTCGTTTCGAAAATATCGTTTTTTGTTTCTAACGACGAAATTTACATAAATCCCATTTTACCGCTTTCTCCAACAGATTTTAAAAACAGTACCACCATCTTCCTAAACGAACGACCCATCAAAGAGCAATAAACATATTAAAAAAAATAAGATACAAATAGACATAACGAGAGAGACATTAAAACACAAAATATTTAAATACTGTCATAGAAAACCACAGATTGAAATGCTTGTTAAATATACAATATATTTCGTAATTTTTTACCTGCTAATTTAATTTCACATTATATTGAAATATAATTACGCTTCTCTTTTAATTTCCGTTTTGAACAATACTAAAGCTAATTTCCACCTGTTCTGATAGAATTTCAATATACAAAGTAAAATTGAAAAAAAAAAAAGTTGTGTGTAATCTGAAAGCGTTTAAAATTTTTAACTACATAAACGGATACACGTAACATATTTGTTTTGGAACGTTTAAGCTCATTCTCAGGGAAATTCTAAACAATTATCAGAGAATTTTATACAATTACATTGTTATAGAAATTTTTTTGATTTAAATGCGATCACCTCTCTCAACTTTATATGCGATATGATAAGGAGATTTTTACTCAATGAAACCTTTTGCTAAAATATTTCAATATTTATTTTGTTATTGACATTAACCATTTGAACTTGGTTTGAAATCAAGAAAACCGATTAAACTTAGGTACAATTAATAAAATAATTTCTATAATTTGTTTATATCACAACATACCGTCTCATTTGATCACATTTTTAACGTTAAAATTTCATCAGCATTTTCTAAAAAAAAAAATTTTGTTCTTAATGTCGAAACTAAATAATCGTATAACTTAATGTTTATATCTATATAAACACAAATACATAACTTGTCAACTAGTATAACACCTGCAACACTTAAACTTCAATCATACATCATTCAAAATTAATTGCATTATTCAATTTCGCACGCTTTAAATGTTAACTTTCAAATCGACATTATTTTATATGATGCACATACATTTGTAAATGTAATATATACATATATGTATATATAGAGATTTTATTAAAATATAGACTACTTACATAAATAATCAAAACGTTTAAGATTTAAACAAAAAAAAAAAAACTTAACTTTACTTCTTAACATTGAAAATGAATTACAAAATAAATAAAAAATTAATTAAACGGAATTTTAAAAATTTACAATTACACATATGTTACATGTATCAATAAAAACAACAATTCAGAAAAAGCATGCACATGTACATTAATACATAAAAATGATATCAAAAATAGAATGCACATAGTATATATAGTACTTATACATTATGTATACACTTGTTTGTGCAATATGTGTACGGAATGTACAGTGCATTGCATAATTTCACCTAAATTTCAATTAAAAACGAATGGAGATGACAATGTTAAATCTGTGGTGCCATCTTGAATATTTTCTAAAATTTGTTTTATTAAAAAAATAACTAAAACAAGAGACCAATTATTACAAATATTGAAAATAGTTTCGGAGATCTATTTTTCTAATCTGAACTATTTTTAACGAAAACAAACACCGTGGAGAAAATTTCAACCATGAAGTCTTAATGACCACGCAACTTTTGCAGCATTATAGAAATCATCAGAACAATTATCCCAATCGCAACCAAATAAAATAAGACTTTTCATTTATTGTTGTTAATAAAATTTTCCAAATTTAATTCAACTTTAGATTAACACTTATACGAATGAATTACCATTATTTTTTAATAAATATTCTTAATTGTCCAAATAATTATGAAACACACTGTAAATTTAATATTGTCAATCAATCAAGAATTATTCTGAATTAAATTTAAGTGTTTATAACACAAAACAAAAAAAAAGAGAGAATGATTAAGTGAATTGACAAAATACTTTCAATTTTTTAAAAGTGTACATAAAATTATAAAATCGAATTATTATTAAAATTTAAACAGCAAATAATAAATCAACATTATTGTGATTAAGTTATTTAATTTTTTTTTTGTAAACTCTACAATTTAGGATCACCATCACCAAATGATTAATAGCGACATGAATAACATTTGTCAAGTAAAACGTACGCGAATAACTTAGTCTGTGTACTAAAATTTTGGAATAATTGGTATATGTAATTCAAAAAAGTTAGTGTAATTTGAAGACATATTGTCTACATATCAGTGCGTCACTATATTTTAATTATAATTAATAATGGTATACAATCATTTGATTCAACTATTCCTTATAATAATTCGAAAATATCTTATACTCTCATTTATAAATTAATTAATAAAATCAATACTTTATACAGTCTTATTTATTCAACATCAACAAAATAATACAGAAAAATTCAAAAATAATTAAGCTGTTATTCATTAATTTTTGATATAATTATAATTAGAATTGTAATTTTTTAAATCCATATAACGAATTAATTTTTACCCTCCAATAATCTATAAGAATTTCTATGACATCAGTTGTAAATAATCCGCCATTTATATTTATTTATATTTTTCACAAGTTATTGTATACAATAAATTGGCAGAATAATTTCATGTATTCAAATAAAATTCTATAGAAAAGGTGTTAAGATATTCATTTATTTTCTAAGTAACAATAACATAGAAGAAGAAATTTTTAAGGTGCGTTATAATGTGACTCATTATATGTGCTCTAAATTAATAATAATTTTATTCAAAAATATTTAATTTAAAAATTAAATTATTCGCACAAATATTATGATAATTGAAAATTAAAATAATATTTTCGGAATTTGTCATAATACAGACCTATTTTTCTTAAAATTGGACATTTTTACTACTTTTGGTATGTTTAAATATGCTTTAAAGAAAATGATAGAAAAATTTGAAAAATTTCCAAAATTTAAAAAAATTGCATATAATACGGCGAGTTTTATTTTATACATATTAAAACGAAACTATCTGTCCATTGAAGACTATTCAAAATTGAAATTAAAAAAAAAAATTTAAATATTCTAGATAAATAGTAAAACAAAATTTTTATATGAAGTTGTGTGTAAAATTCCTTCCTCTGACCCTTCCCCACCGAGCTAGTTTAATTGCTCATTAAAATGCATTATACTTACTATGCTCAACGAATTTATTTCGATTCACATAATATTTCTTCTGTTTTAATCAATCTTTAAAAGTTATGACGCGTTTTCAAAATTAATATTTACTTTAAAATTCCTCCTAGAGGTATGCAACTCTATATATGAAGATTCAAATTCAGCACAACTTAATTGTTAAATGGATACATTGTGTTTTTATAAGCAATGGCTTTGATCGATTGCATTTTTCTGCTAGAAAATCTGTTTTTTTTTGTCATTATTTACTTAAAATATTCCCGCTTTGTTTATTACATATTCGATTTAAAGAACATGCTTGGCAAATATGTTAAAAGCTCTCCAAAATTTTCTTAAGTACATAATTTCTAAACTTTTGTTATATTATTTATTGAAAATAGG